GGGGATTTGGGGGTGTTCAGGGGGTAATTGGAGGGGTTCGGGGATTTGGAGGTCCCTGGGGGATTTGGGGGTGGACTTTGGGGGTCTCTGGGTGTATTTGGGGGTCCCTGGAGGTGTTTGGGGGTCTTGTGGTGGTGTTTGGGGGGGATTTGGGGGTGTTCAGGGGGTAATTGGAGGGGTTCGTGGATCTGGGGGTCCCTGGGGGATTTGGGGGGGTCCCTGGGGGTGTTTTTGGGGTCCCTGGGGGAGTTTTGGGGGTCCCTGTGTGACACCGGCAGGCTCTGGGGGGGATTTTGGGGGTCCCCAGGACGTCGCCGCCCCCCTGCGCACCCAGGTCGATCTCGGCTGCAATTTCTTCGTCAGCGCCGAAGTGTGAGTGAGGCCGGGACCCCAAAAACCTCCTCAGACCCCCCCAAACCCTCCCTTGACCAACCCAAAACCTGCCCTGAGCCCCCCCAAAACCCCCAGGAGCCTTCGAGACCCCAAAAATTCCCTTGGTGATCCCCCCAGGACCCCCCAAACCTCAAAATCCGCCACCCCTGAGCCCCCACGACCCTCGGGACACCCCAAAATCCCCTGGGGGACCCCCCTGACCCCCGATTTTCCCTCCCCGGACCCCCAGCCCGGACCCCCGGCGCGTTTTCGTGGCTCTGGGGTTCGGATTCTTCGCGGAGCTGACGCTGCCCGAGGCCCTTCGGCACCTGGAGCGCCGCAGCTCCTTCCTGCAGAGGTGAGAGACCCGGCCACGCCACCCTGGCCACGCCCCGGCCACGCCCACACGCCCCGGCCACACCCCCGTGCCTTTGCACCGTGACCACGCCCATTTGTTGAAGCCACACCCCCAAAAGCCACGCCCTGTCCCAGCTGGTTTGGAGGAGCCGCTTAGGCCACGCCCTCTTTGCACTCACCTGGGGCCAGGTGGGGAAAGCCACGCCCTCTTTGGCCACGCCCATACCATAAAAGGAGCTCCCGTTTCCACGCCATGACCAAAAAAGGAGTTTCATCTGTCAGGCCACGCCCACGCCATAAAAGGAAAGCACGTTCCTGCCTCATGACCAAAAAAGGAGTGCCACTAGGCCACGCCCACACCACCCAGGCCACGCCCACACCATATAAGGAAGGCATGTTCTCATTCAGTGACCATAAAAGGCGTGGCCTCGCTCTGTCAATCATCGGGCCACACCCACACGGGAGACCCTGCGCATGCCCCGCCCCCTCCTCCCAAAGCCCCGCCCACTTAAGCCCCGCCCCTTCCAGGCTCAGCGAATCCCTGACCCGGGACGGGGCCAAGATCCGCGCCCACATCCGGCTGGTGCTGGAGGTAACCCCGCCCCTCCCCTGGCCACGCCCCCTTCCTTCTGGGCCACGCCCACAACGCTCTGCCCCTCCCCCCAGGGCCTGCGGGAGCTGCAGGGGCTGCAGGGCCCCTCCCCCACCCCGGACCCCTGAGGGACCCCTGGGCTGGCCCCGCCCCCACCTTGGTGTAAAGCTGGAGTATTTTACACATCGGAGTAACCTTTGTGTAAAGCTGGAGTAAAACGGAGTTTTTTATACCTTGGAGTGACCTGTGTGTAAAGCTGGGGACTTTACACCTCAGAGTAACCTGTGTGTAAACCTGGAGGTTTCTACACATCGGAGTAATTTGCGTGTAAAGCTGGAGTAAAATGGAGTTTTTTACACCTCGGAGTAACCTGTTTGTAAAGCTGGAGTGAGGGGCGTTGTTTCGCACCCAGCAGGGAGGTCGGAGTAACCGCGGAGTAATTAACGAGTAACCCGTGAGGGTGCTGACGGCGGTGAGGGAGGGGCCTGTGAGTAACCCCAGGGTAACCCTGAGGAAACTTGGAGTAACCCTGGAGCAACTGCAGGGCACTGGCGGAGTAACCTGTGGGGAAACTCGGAGTAACCCCTGAGTAACTGCTGAGTAAACTCGAGGAACCGCTGGAATACCCCGTTCCTGGGCCTGGAGTAGCCTTGGAGTAGCTCTGGAGTAACCTCGGGGCAGCCCCATCCTGTTTTGGGCCTTGGAGTAAACAAGGAGTAACCTTGGAGTCCAGTCTCCCCTCCCCCAAAAAGGGGTGGAGCCTCTTTGGGGCTGTCCCCGCCCCCTCCGAAGGGTGGGGGGCAGTAGGGGGAGGGGCTGTTGTTGGTGACGTCATTGGGGATCCCCAAGAGGGAACCCCTGATCCCCCATCCCAAGAAGGGGCGTGTCCTCTTAAGCTCCGCCCCTTTTCACCTTCCCCACCGCCTCTTTTCCTGCCCTTTGTGTGACGTCACTCAACGCTTGGCCCCGCCCCTCACGCCGCCGTCGCTCTGCTTTTGGCCCCGCCCCTCCAGCGCCCTTTCCCGCCCCTCGCGCGTGACGTCACCCAGCTGCGCCCCCGCCGCCATCTTGCGCCGCCGCCGCCGCCGCTCCCGCCGCTCCCGCCCGGCCCGGCCCGGCCCGGCCCCCCCGGAGCCGCCCGCGGGGTCGGGCCCGGCCCCGCCATGGCCGAGGATTTCTGGGAGGCCCCGCGGCGCTGAGCCGGTAACGGGGGAACCCCCCGGGAACCTTCGGGAACCTTCGGGAACCCCCCGCGGGAACCCCCCTGGGAACCCCCCGGGAAACCCCGGAGCTTCTGTGAGGGCAGTGGGGGGGAGGGGAGGGAGGCCGCGGTGTCAGTGGGGGAGGGGAGCCCTGAGGGGAGGGGGGGGGGCAGGAGGGGAGGGGCCGGGTGTGGGGAGTGTCCAGGTGTGCCCAGGTGTGCAGGGTGAATCCAGGTGTGCCCAGGTGTGCCCAGGTGTTGAGGTTGATCCCAGGCGTGCCGGGCATCTGTTCAGGGGTGTTCAGGCCCCAGGTGTGCAGGGTGGGCCCAGGTGTTCGGGGTGAATCCAGGTGTGCCCAGGTGTATCCAGATGTGCCCAGATGCGCCGGGCATCCAGGTGTTGAGGAGTGTTCAGGCCCCAGGTGTGCAAGGCGGGCCCCAGGTTTGCAGGGCATCCAGGTGTTCCCAGCTGTGCCCAGGTGTGCAGTGACCCCAGCTGTTCAGGGTGTCCCCAGCTGTCCCCAGGTGTCCCCAGAGGTGTTCCCAGGTGTGTCCCCAGCTGTCACCAGCTGTCCCCAGGTGTGCAGGGACGCTCAGGTGTGCAGTGACCCCAGGTGTTCAGGGTGTCCCCCAGGTGTGTCCCCAGCTGTCCCCAGGTGTGCAGGGACGCTCAGGTGTGTCCCCGCAGGGCTCGGCCATGGACCGGATGAAGAAGATCAAGCGGCAGCTGTCGATGACGCTGCGGGGGGGCCGCGCCCCCGACAAGGGCCTGGGGGACCCCCGCGACGGCCCCGGCAGCGACAGCGGTGAGCGCTGGCCCTTTAAGGGCCGCCCCGCCCCCTCAGAGTCGGCTCCGCCCCCTCCTCTAGTGGGGAGCTGGCCCTTTAAGAAGGCGTGGCTTGGGGGTGCATGGCCCTTTAAGAAGGTGGGGGCAGGGGTTGGAGGTGCCTTTAAAAGCCTTGGGGGGGGCAGGAGAGAGATTGAGAGGGTGCCTGTCCCTTTAAAAAGGTGTCTGTCCCTTTAAGAGGGTGCGTGGCCCTCTAAGAGTGTGCTTGTCCCTTTAACAGTGTGCCTGTCCCTTTAAGAAGGTTCCTGTCCCTTTAAAAGCATTGTTGTCCCTTTAAGAGGGGGCGTGGCCCTTTAAAGAGGGTCTCTGTCCCTTTAAGAGCGTCCCTGTCCCTTTAAGAAGGCGGGCGCACATTTTGGGGTGCCTGTCCCTTTAAAACACCCCTCCCCCAGCCGAGCACGGTCCCTTTAAGAGCGCTGGGGTCCCCCCCCCGTGCCCCTCCCCCATCCCCAGGTGCCCCCTGGCTCCGTCCATCTGTCCCCAAATCCTGTCCCCTCCCCCCCC